GAAAAATTATGAGAAAAGAGAAAAAATGGAAATGAAGTCTATGTAAGTAGGGAAGGGTGGAGGGGGTGAAAGGCGCACAGGTAATGGGGAAAAACATAAGAACCAAGACACATCATGTACAAGTACAAGCACCCAATGATAAGTGTAAATGTATTGTAGACCTAAAATGTGCCAATAAAAGAATTTAAGGAAAAGAAAATCTGTTGCTGATAAACTTCCCAGCTTTTAGTAGTTTGTTACAGCAGCCTGAAAGGACTAAGACAAAAACTGCAAGTGAAAAACTCCAGTGTTACACCACTGCATCCCCAATTGAATGATAAAAAGGAAAAAAAAGACAATACTGGGGTGGATTTTTTCTTTTGCAATTTAGCTAAATATTTGTACATTAGCTAAATGTTACTTTTTGTGACTCTGCTGATCAGATACCTTTCTTGTCGTGTTTGCTTTTTTACCCTTTTTTGCTTTTTTATTAGTTATAAAATTAATAGATTTCATTTGGACAGATTTGCGTGTGCACATGACGTTCCTTGTTTTCACCTGACTCTCCAGCGCTCCCCTTGCCTCCCCTTCCCTCCTAGTTTCACCGTTTTTGGGGTGGAGGGTTAATGAATGTATGTGAATCCTGTATAGCAATGAGAATGAGTGAATTCCAACCACGTGAAATCCCATAGTGAAGCAGTGAAGCACAATGTTGAGTGAAAGAGATGAGGAACAAAGGAGTGCATACTGTGTGATTTCAATTCCATGAAGTTCAAAATCAAACATACAAAATGAGAAGCCAAGATGGCGGTTCTGTCAGGGACAGTGACAAAGTGAAGGGAAGGGGACATGCGAGGGCCGCTAGGACTCTGGCAATGCCTAGTTCATGCTCTGGGTGTACAGGTGTGCTGGGTATACATGGACTGGTTACACAGGTGTGCTTCCTTTGTGTGTATGTTTCTATAAATTAATTTTTAAAAGAACAATGAATGGTGCATATACAAGGTGAAATTGGACTTCTTACCTCACATCATATACAAAATGAACTCAGAATGGACCAAGGATGCAAATATAGGGGCTAACACTATAAATTCTTAAAAGAAAATACAGACATAAATCTTTATGACCTTGGATTGAGCAGTGGCTTCTTTAATATGTCACAGAAACACAAATAACCAAAGAGAAAAAATGGGTAAACTGAAGTTCATCAAAACTGAAAACTTCAAAGACAATCTACAGAATGGGAGAAAATATTTGCAAGTCATATATCTGCTAAGGATTTAATACCTACAATATACAAAGAACTCATACAACTTAGCATTAAAAAGAACCCAATTTTAAAATGGACAGAGTTGAATAGACAGTCCCCCAAGAAAATAGCCAAATGGTTAATAAGTACATAAAAAATGTTGAGCATCACTCCTCATTAGGGAAATGGAAAGAAATCACTGTAGGAGACCTCTTCACACACAACTCAATGGCTAAGATATAAAAGGCAGATAATGTAAACAATAAGTATTGGTGAGGATGTAGAGAAATTATAGCTCTCACACATTGCTGGTAGGAACATAAAATAGTACAGGTACTCTGGAAAATGGTTTTGCAATTCTTTGGAAAGTTTGACATAAGGTTACCATGTTCTCTAACAATTCTACTTTACATATGTATAATCAAGAGAAATGAAAGATAGGTCTACACAAATAAGTATACATGAATTTCATTGCAGCATTATTCGTAGTGGCCAAAAAAAAATGGAAAGAGACCAAATGTCAATTGACTGATGAATGAATAAACAAAATGTCATGTAGCTGTTCAATGGAATACCATTCAGCCATTAAAGGGATGGAATACTAATATGTGCTACAGTGTCCTTAAAAACAATATTAAGTGAAAGAATCCAATGAGAAAGGCCATGTATTATGTGATTTATTCACATGAAATATCCAGAAAAGGCAAATCCAAAGAAATAGAAAGTAGATTAGTGGTACCAGAGGCTGAGAGAACAGAATAGAGGATAATTTCATAGGCATTTTTTTTTTCCTGAGAAGGGATAATGAAAATATTCTGTAATTAGAAAGTGTTAATGTTGCACAATTTTGTGGCTATGTTATAAACTATTGAAGTGCATGCTTCAAAAGATTGAATTTTATGGTATGTGAATTATATCTCAATAAAATAATTTACTATAAAAAACACATAAAAATAAAATAATTGTGTATGGGGGAAACCAAGTTAAACGGTTCTCTTTAGAAACTATCTTTGTATCCATCGCAAGAGCTCACTGGATTCCATTTTAAACTCATCACATTGAAGAACATGAAATAGTGAATAATCAGGGAAGTGTACTCTATGTTCTGCCCCCATTCTTCTCCTTGTAGTTCTTCTCGCCTTTCCTGGATCCTGGCTGTCCATTTTTGCCTTATAGATCAGGGTTTCTGAGTGCATCACCTTAGTGCAGTTGCATCCAGATCTCTTTCAGTGACTTTGAAACATTCTTTCCAGATTTACTGAAACAGAAACTCTGGATCTGACTCTAGATTTAGCATTTTTAAGTTACTCAGCTATAAAAATAATACTATTGCCAATAAAAATAGTAACTTTTACCTATGGAATACTTTTCTTAGGCACATTCCAAATGCTTTGCATGAACAGACTCATTAAATCCTTGGTCTAATCTTTGACTAGGTACTATTATTATCTCCATTTTATAGATAAATAAACTGAGTGTTGGGAGCATAAGAAACTTTCTTAAAAGTATGTGACTAGTAAGTGTACGCTGGGAGCAAAGGCAGGCAATCTAGCTTCAGATTATAAGCTCCCAGGCACTGCGCAATACAGCTTCTTCTCCCCAGTGATTCTTACCCTTCAGTTTGAGGTTCACTCTTTTGATTATTACTTAATACATTACTTGTATCTGCAAAAATAAAACCTATAGTTACCTTTGATGTGAAAATTTATAAAAGCAAATTTTCTTAAAGGGAAGGTGGCAGATCAGTTGTGAAATTGTACAAGTGGAAACCGAGACATTAAAGGCATACACCCTTGGGAGAAGCACCCTACATGGTCCCTCCCATCCTTGCCCTTCCAGTTAAGTAGGCCTAGTGACGCAAACCACCTGGAAGAGAGGCTGGTGCGCTGCAGAGGAAACTTGGCCTGAATTCCATTCCAAAGCCTGGACCAACTTTTCCCTGTGTTGTTTCTGTCTTACCAGGGCAAGGTGTCGTGTTTTTGTTACAGAACTTAATCAGGCCTGTTTGGAAGTTCCAGTCAGCTTCTGGTTGCTTACTGATAACCAAGGCCTCTTTCCGGCTGGGGTCAGGTCCAACAGCTTCTACCTAGCCAGCTCACCATGGTCCCAAGGCTCGTAGTTGGTGTCACACCACGTGGGAGCCTTCCAGTGTGGCTCTCTTGGGAGACAAGCAACACACTGACAAGAGCTTCATGTGGGATGGAAAGTGCACCAGCCTGGGGATGAGAAGACATAGGTAGGTACAAGTGAGCCTGTCCATGGAAGTGGGCACATTAGGCAAGTCCTGAAACCTCTGAAGGCT